TTCCTAGAAATGCATCGTTCAGTAATTAGTAAAAACTGATAAAAGTCAGCATATGTCTAGGTTATTGGGACACCCGGTATAGAGCAAAAGCAGAAAATTTGTGCAAATAAAAAACCCTTTTTTCTCCAAACGACAAAAAAACGTCACTTTGTCATCACCTGTCAAGATGTTAGAAATTTTATATCCTACTGAACTATTAAAACCATATACCTTGGTTACGATAATCATAAACAGGGTCTTAACTCCCAAGGGAGTTAAGGATTTTCATAACTCCCAAGGGAGTTAAGGAAGGGAGTTAAGGATATCATAACTCCCAAGGGAGTTAAGGATTTCCATAACTCCCGCTTTTACCTTGAATAGGTAACACTTTGACAAAAAATAGAGATTTTGATTTATGGCTTATTCCTTTATAAAAATAGACAGAATACAGTAAATTCAGTAGGATATAAAATTATCTATGTACCACGGGAATTATCAGGAGTTAATACCCACGGGCAATTGGTGTCCCTCGGGCCGGAGGCCCTCGGGACACAAACGTTGCCCTGGGGTATTAACACCTGCATAATTCCCTTGATACATAAATAACTATAATTTCTAGGCTGGTAGGCAAATCTAGCGGGTTAACACCTGTCGAGGTAATGGAAATTTAATTTTTCTCCAAACGTCAAAAAAACGCCACTTTGTTAACCTCTGTCAAGATGTCAGAAATTTAATTTCTATGCTGGTAGGCAAATCCAGCAGGTTAACACCTGTCGAGGTGGTAGAAATTCAATTTCTATGCTGCTTGGCAACCCCAGCGGCAGCACAAGTACTTTTAGTGCCGCTCGTACTTTTACTGCTGCTCAACCATTCACTTGCCACCGAGCGAAAAAATAGCGTTCGGCTCGCAAACCTACTGCTTCAGCACAAAAAAGTTAAGCTTCTACTCCTAATACAACAATAGTCTATTTACACATGAATGAAAACATTAAAATAAAACCATTTCCAGCTTTCCGAGAATTAATTCGGCTACACATTCGGCAATCAGCCTATGTTCCCTGGCCTACAGATATAATTGATGGAACTAGTCGGTGGAGTACAGATAGTACAGTACGGTGGTTTTTAGTTTTTGTTTTTGGTGCCTGTGTGTGTAGTAGTAGGTGTCAGTTAACCAAGGGAAATAGTGGCTGTGACTACAAACATTTCAAATGTTTTTTTCATTTAACTTGTTTCCATAATATTGTCTCATATGTTCCTATTAAACTTGTTTTTTAAATATGTTTTCATATTTGGCTTTGAAAAACCTCAAAGACTTTTTTGCGTCGGGCCCCAATTTTTTTTTTTGCGTCGGGCTCCAAAGGTCCTAGATCCGCCACTGTTGAAAGATACAAGCAAATGCAAATACTTTCCCGATGATTCACAAACACAGAACCTCTAAGTGCTGAGGAATATTGGCATAAACTTAAATCCGAAATGCTAGAAGCCGCAATGCAAATAATAGACAAGAAGAAGAGACGGAAAAGGGCGGAGAAACGCTCAGAAGAACAAGAGAAAGAAGATCTGCATTTGAAGATGCAAGAATAAAGGCTGACAAAATATTCCGCAAAAAGAAGCGAAGATCTGAAAACTAGAAAATGCAACACTGAAACATTATTTTGAAAACAATGATCTGAGGACGGCTTATAAACATCTACGCAGTTTGAAAGAAGGATACAAACCACGCACAACTATTTGTAGAAACGACGAACGACAAATAACCAGTGATCCATAACAAATCAAGAACACATGGAAAACATACTTCTGAAAGTTATTGTTATTGCAAGAAAATGATCAACACATGGAAATGCCAGATGCAGGGGAAAGAGAGGATCAAAATTTTTCTTCAACAATTTATCAAAATATAAATAAAGGGCTCTAGCAAGAAGATATGGACTAGCTTACACACTGTTCACCTCGGAGCTAGAGTACGTCATCCGCAAAATAGACGTAGGAAGATCAAACCTATCAACATCCGAATCAATACAATTAGCAGCATACGCAGACGACATAAACATCATGTCTCGGAGAACAGAATTAAGACTTAAGACACACCAGAAATATATATGAAGCTGAAGAGAGAAGTTAAAAACATTGGGCTCGAAATAAACACCTAAAAAACAAAGACGCTGCCACAGGCCCGAATAAGAGGAAACAACAATGACAGTTGGGGACTACCTTGAAGCGGTTCAGAGCTTCAAAGTACCTGGAAGTTGAAATAAACACATTAGGGAACGAGGAAGGCGAAATACAAAACAGAATACAGAACGCAAATAAGGCATTCTTCTCTATGTCACAAGTATTTTACTCAGGAACCATCCATCGCGAATCCAAGATCAGGATCTAACTAACCCAAACCATCATCAGACGAGTTCTATGCTATAGATGCGTAACATGGGCCATGACTGACAGCCTGAAAAGCAAACTGGGAATTTTTAAATGAAAAATCCTTCGAAAAATATATAGGGGCGTCAATGAGAATAGGATATGGAGAATGCGTTACAATCACGAACTATACCAACTGTTCAGAGAAGCTCTCAACTCAAAATTAATCACGCTGCAAAGACTTCGATGTGTAGGTCAGGTGATCAGAATGCCAGAAGAGAGACTTAACCGCCGAATGTGTGGAAAAAGATCGAAACGAAGGCCACGGAAGAAAAACCAGAAGAACCTCAAGAAATAATGGAAGTAACTGAACAACCAGAAATAATGATCAAAAAGCCTGTAAGAGAAGATATTATTGAACAACAAGAAATAATATTTGAAGAAAAACCACAGAAAGATAGAAAAGAAAGTTCGTCTGAAGCTCTAGAAGCTAAACCTAAAAAACCAAAGCGACCTCTATCAAAATCAGAAGAGAAAAAAGACAAAATCCCAAGATTAAAAGGTCACCTACACGTACCTTTCCCACCACAATGCGAAGCCGAAATATTACCAAATATCACAGAACTAGAACCAGTTTTTCGCGATAATGGAATATTGTTACCTAAGGAATATTGAAGAAGCTGCTAAAGTGAAAAAACCAAAACGCAGTAAACTTGAAGAAGTTCTTCACGAAATAACGGATTTAGAAAGACTTGACTTGGAATATGAAGAACAGAAGAATAAGGAACTCGAAAAGGTCGATGATGCTTTCAAATACGAAAAGAAGCCTGAGAAACCTGAAGAAGACCAGAAATTGAAAATTGGAAAAAGCCAACTACCCAAAAACCTGGAAGATGGCGAATTGCCATAACTAAGGACAGCGCCCAAAATCCCTGGAGCACCTGAAGAATTTGTTGCTGACTTCGAGAAAACAAAAGAACCTGAAGATGCTACGGATGACACAGAAGTTCCACCATTTGAACCTAGGGAAATTGAAGATGTTGAAGTTGAAAAGGTCGAACTCGAGAAGCCCGAACATACACAAGAAAGATACTGAACCTACCGAGAAAATCAAAGTGCCACTTAGAAAGAGAAAGATAATCAAGCCTAAAGAAACATCTGAGGAGATTTCCTATAAAAGGTCGAACCTAAACAACCACAACAGGAAGAACCTGAAGAAATAAGTTTGAAATATAAACAGAAATCAGAGCCCGAGGAGAAGGCGAGGGATATTAAACTAAAACCTTTTGAGAAGGCAATTGATGAGACAGAACCCCTTGAACCAAAACCAATACAGTAGAAGCCTAAAGAAACTGTACCGCACCTTCCAAAAAAAAGTCACTACTCACTAAAATAGCCAGAAGAAAATAAAAAGGCGGAATTAGAATTCAGATTAAAGATTAGATTAAATTATGTGGACCTCCCACGTTCAGCAGGAGTTCTTTGGTAAAAGATTCAGAACCTATAACTAAAGACAATGAAAGACAATCTTATCAAGGAACATCAAAGTAGCTGATGAAATCAAGCCAAAGAAAAAGAAGACTGAGCTAAAACTGAATAATCTCGAAAAACTATATCAAGAGGAGTGGAAGATGAAGTTGAAGCAGAAACAATTATATTTAAAGAGAAACTATCCAGCCAGAAGAAGAAGGTGAAGTTGAGCTTGAAACAATAATAAAGCCAGAGGAAAAGGTAGAAGGAATTATTGAAGAGAAAGTTGTAATTGAAAAGAAGAAAGTTAAAAAAACTTGGTGGCGTCAGAGTATGAAGAAGAGAAACCTTGGACTGCAATGCTTGGAGGCCAGGGCCCAATTTGGGCTATATCACCATATAAGACTTCCAAATTTTGTTTTGTAGGTTATTTACCTACCTACTTCGGCCCTGTAATTTTTTAAAGCCAATATTCAATAATTGAGACATTATTCCGCCACCAACAATATTATATAATCAATCCAGTAACACTCCATTGAGTAAGCTCCATATTTGTTAACGAAGGCTGACCAAGAACCAATTGTAATTCATTAAAAGCCGAGTTAAAAGCTTGATGAAATCGACCATTAATCGATTTCATGGTGTACCTACTAGTAAATTATGAGAGATTTATTTAAACGTTTTCATAGTAATTCCTAATATTAGTAAAATTATTGATTTAGATTTGAAAGATAATACAGAACCGATTGTATAAAGTTGAATTTATAAGTACGAGTTTCTAACACCTCCAAAAATATAGTAAGGGGATTTGGAGCCAGTTGAATTTAATCTTTTGGATGGAAATAATATGGATTTAAAACGTCTCCCTGGTCCACTCTCCAATGCAGAACATAATAAGGGTTTTGTGCCAGACTTTTTGAACTCGTAAAATTTTTTTACTGACTGGAAGGTCATATAGACATCGCTAATTCTAGAATATTTTATTTTTTAATCTTGTAGCATAAAAATTGAAATTTACGCTTATGTATTACATATCTTAAACCACAAAAAATCCCTTGTGAAACTTCTAATTCGCATTTTCGAATAACTATAATACCTAATAATTATTATTGTATTCAATTTTTTTGCTCTATGTCTGCAACAATTATTAACTAGCAATCCAAAAAAATGTACAGCGGTTATATCAATATCGGTTTGGCAAGAACCACCAAAATATATCTTGGAACAAAAAAAGGAACCAGTCAAACCTTGGATAATCCAATTCAATTATGTTCAAATGTATTGTAAAACCGTATCGGAGAAATTCGCAACAGATTATAACACTTTTACTTTCGATTTGAGCGTACGTGTGCAGGCGTCAGGTGCCAAGGCTTATTCTAATGGAAGGGTTACAAAATTGATTGAGAAAACTTTGATTATGGTCTCAGCTAAATTATAGTCCATTGTGGTTCTTTGACACAGCGAGAACCATCGTGTGATTATGGTTTGGATACCGCCGGATTTATCGGAGGCATGTGCCGTCCACACAACGATAACGACATGTCAAGCTTCGACCTTTATATTTTTACAATTAGTGGCTCAATTGTTCGGTTACTCAAAAGACGAGAAATCGCCTCGTCAAAGTTTTGGGACTGGTTTTGAGTATTCGTACGGAGGCGGTTTAAGTGAGGATTTCAATAGCTACTCTTCGGGTAACGTTGATAACGAAAAACCGCAAGAGTATGACTTTATTGTTGTTGGTGCTGGTAGTGCTGGATGTGTGGTAGCTAATAGGCTGACAGAGATACCAGAATGGAAGGTGAGTGATTTTAAATTTTATCCAGGCTCTATAAGTCTAAGATGAGTAGCAATTCCAAATATTTTTCAAAAATGTGCACATTTGTACAAAAAGGGCATAGTTTGATTGACTCCCTTGTTTTATCACTTCGTTATGGTTGAGAGAAAGATGCGTAGTATTAAAATGACAGTCTCTTACGTTTTTTAACGGTAAGAGTTTCCTTTATATACCCAGAAATTAACTTCCCTTGCCCTGATGGTAATTTTTTTCTCGGTCGATTCGGAGATCGAGTCTTTATGCTTAGTGGATCTTAAGACTCCTTTTTTTATCGACCTTAATTAGGACTATCGTTTTTTAAAGAGCCATCGACAAAAATTGTAATTAATTTCACTGGCTTCTTATTAGAATAATAGATAACAGGATATTGAATTATCATTTAGAAAAACATCCATTTTGTCTACAAACATGACAATAATCAAATAGTTACCAGACTAAATCTTAAGCTATTCCTACAAGTACACGTTCATAAAAGATCATCTTTCTCGCTTGATTCGCCGAAAGATTCACGGAGTTAGATGCCGGGTAAACGATAATATATCTTCGTGAATGATCATTACACTCAATTAAGTCAAAAGATTAGCTCTTCATCGTTAACCGAGTGTATTTTGCGGTGTGAATTGTGTATTAATTTATGGGGTTTTGTATAATCAGTAGTTTGGTCTAGCTGGTTATTAGGTTAAATTTTATGGGCGTCGTCGATTATTGATACATTGCAGCAATATTGGAAATTAGTGTTTTATTTATAACAGTTAAGTTACATGAGTTGTACGAATTTACATTTAAGTATTGACCATTTCAAAACCCATTTGTTTTTTGTATAAAACCAGTTTCCGGTGAAATATTACTAAATATCAATTTATTAATTCAAATTACGCCTATAATTAAACAACAGCTGATACTTTTTTCACATATTTTTTTTTTCTCCAATAATTTTTTATTTTTATTCGATATTTTAGGAAGTAGGTACATACTTTTACTCATGTAATTTCAATATAGGGATTTTAATTATTAGTTAAGGACTTGTTGCCTTGTATAATACCCAGTGTTCTTAGCTATCGGAGGCTTTCTCCTAATCTCTATGAGTGTCGATATAGTGGTATTTGATATTTGTTAGATTTTTGAATTATTATTTTTTCATCATCATCATCATCATCATCATCATCATTAGATTAGATTAGATTAGATTAATATTGGGGTGTTGTTGCACTGCGACCTAAAGATCTATTGTGTCTCCTGCTGAAGCCGATTTGATGTGGATCTCAAATCATAGTACTTCGTCCAGTCCTATGGCCTTGATGAGTGCTAGTAACTGGTACGGTGTCAAGGATGGTATGTCTCCTTCTAAAACTACATAGTCACCGAGATGTGTAGCCCGGCTTCTAGCGACGGCTTCGCATACGGTTAGTAGGTGTTCTGGAGTTTCTTCCTCCTCCCCGCAAAACCTGCATTCACTGGATCTCTCGAGTAGCATTTTCCTGCAGTGTTCTCGAAGGTGGCAGTGCCCTGTCATAAACCCTGTAAGAATTCTTAGTTTAGTTTTACTTAAATTTACTAGAGCTTTAGATTTTTTGGGATTGAAGTTTCCAAGGAATATCTTAGAGTGTCTAAGTCCCGGAAGGTTGTCCCAGAGGCGAGCTCTGAGGCTATCTTCCATTTTCTTAAGCTCCGCTGTATAAGTGTTTTTACCTATACCGCAAAAAGGCTCCGGTCCTACAAACGGGGAACCGGATCCTTTCTTTGCCAAGGTATTGGCTTCTTCGTTACCTTCTACTCCTGCGTGTCCAGGCACCCATAGTAAAGTGACTTTATTTTTCTTTCCTACCTCATTTAGTTTCCCTAGGCAATCCTGTACTATCTTAGAACTGATGACATATGAACTCAGTGCCATTATGGCCGATTGACTGTCGGTGAATATTGCAATCTCTTGCTTGAGTTAGTTCATGTTCAGGATCATTTGAGCACATCTTTCAATGGCGTGTATTTCCGCCTGAAAGATACTGGTGTATTTACCCAGTGACTCAAAATATTTGGTACGAGGCCCAAATAATCCAGTTCCTGATCCTTTGTCGGTTTTCGAACCGTCTGTGTACCATTTAATGGTGTTTTCTTTGAGAGATTCGGTGATCTTGCCGCTTTCCCAGTCGCTTTTATTATCAATCCTTGTGAGGAAGTTTCTCTCAAAGTGATATTCTTTGGTTATATCGTCTTTAGGAAGATCGAATAAGGGAATATACCGTGTCTGGGATGACCATGCTCCTTGATCGATGATGTCCTTAGCCTCGGTCCTATTGCTAGCGAGTTTAAACATAGCCCTTTCTGCAGCTCCCTTCACCGACAAGTGCAAAGGTGTGAGGTCAAGTATGACGTTCAACGCTGCTTCTGGACATGTTCTCATGGCTCCTGTAATACATACACTTGCCAGTCTTTGCAATTTATCAAGTGCTCGCCTTGTAGTGCTTTGTTCTGCTATGCCATACCAAACTGCTGCCCCATATGTGATTATGGGTTTTACCATCATAATGTACATCCACCGCAGTATTTTTGGTGTACATCCCTAGTTTTTACCCGTCAAGTTTCTGCACACCATAATGGCTTTAGTGGCTTTGTTAACAATGGCTTCTAGGTGTTTTTTCTATAGAAGTTTACTATCCAGTGTTATGCTCAGATATTTGACTTCGTTTGCTTGATTTACAACCTCTCCACTTAGGTGAATTTCCCTAGTAAGTTGAATTTTTCTTCTAAGTGTAAATGGTACAATAGTGGTTTTTGCTGAGTTGATGCTCAGCCCCACCGATGTGCACCATTCTTCGGTAGTACTTAGGCCTTTTTGTATGAGGTCGTATAGTATGCCCTCAAACTTGCCTTTGGCAATAATGACAATATCATCGGCGTAACCTATACAAGTTAGACCCTGATTTGTCAGTCTGGACAGGAGTTCATCAACTACCAGGCTCCACAACAGGGGTGAGGTTACTCCCCCTTGAGGTGTACCACGAGTGGTTCTGATGCTTGTGGTTTGTTCACCCACAGTTGTCTCAGCTGTTCTCGTATCTCAGACCCCACCAGACTATGGTTTTATTCACTCCTCTCCTCTCCAGAGCAATTTTTACCGCCCCATGGGACGTGTTATCAAAAGTCCCAGATATATCCAGGAAGGCACATATGGCTGTTTCTTTTTCCTTAAGGGTTTTTTGGATGATTTCAGGAGGGTATTCATGGGGATTCATGGAGGGCAGGAAATATTCCGTCCACCCCTGGTGACTTAAACGGTTGAAAGGTACCTACTTATTGCCCATTTCTTCCGTTCCGCAGTAAAAACCCTCTTTGCAGCTTCCCAGTCGTCCTTCTTCGGTTTACTGGTGTCGACTACCGTGGTTATTTCTATTGGTACGCTACCTGGAAAATGCGTTTGAAGTAATAGGATGGCCTGCACCTCTTCTCCTTTCGTGTAGGTGCCGTCCGGCTTTTTGAGGGCCATAACTGGATTTGTTCCTCCTTTGACCATGGCCTTATGTAGCCTTGCAGCCGTTGGAGTGTCAGCAATTTCCTCACAAAAGGTTCTTAAATGTTGCCTTTTGGCTTTTCTTATCTCTTTGTTATACAGAGTAAGCACTTCTGCGTATCCCTGCCAATTTCCGTCACTTTTTGCTGTATTGAAAAGATGACGGACTTGAAATCTCATGGTGCATCTTTTTTTGATCTCGCTGTAGTCACTGGGCAACTGGATTCAAAGGCTTCCATAATTGCCTTTGTGACTTCCTTAGTGTCCTGCTCCAAGTCCATGTGGTGTCTTTTCCCACCTGCACTTAAGCAGTGAAGGTTGTTCTGTAAATTGGTTTTGTAGGCTTCCCAATTAGTTTTTCTCGGAACCCTTCGTATGGGTCTATTGTATTTTACATTCTCCAGGTTCAACTCAATTATCCTGTGATCTGACAGGGATGGTTCGGTTGATACTCTCCAGTTTTTGATGAGGTCTCTAATACTGGAGCTGACTAAAGTTATATCTAATACTTCCGACCTTGCTCTAGTCACGAATGTAGGCATAGTACCAACATTCAAGACCTCAAGGCCGGTAGTTATAATGTGCATTTGCGTCGCAGCCTAAGAGTAGTGGCAGGCGCTCTCTTCTGCAATATTGAATCAGCTCTTGTACCTCTGGCGGTGGTATCGTTAGCCCATCTCCAGGAAAGTATGCTGAAGCAATTGCTATGTTGCGGTTGCAGCCCCCAATGTCGAGTTGTACGACAATGGGTGTCAAGTCCCGTGACATAAAATCTGTAGCACACATATAAATAATGTCATTTCTTATGAGAATACAGGCTCTGGGTGATTCCTGCCTGTTATCGTATACTACCTTTGAAAGTTTGCTTGACAAACCTCTGATTTGCCCTCTATTGATCCAGGTTTCTTGGATCATAACTAGTCCCAGATCTTGGTTAGCAAACATTCGTACAATCACATCGGAGGATGCCCGTTTGTGTTGCAGATTGATTTGCGCTAATCTGATGAATATTCTAGTAATGGGGGGAGGGATCAGCAGGTGGTCTGTTTGGACTATCCTGTCCTTCCCTCTGCTGTTCCTTACTCTGATCCGCCAGAAGCTTCTCTTCATCTTCCTTGCTGATGACCTCATCCTCAGAAGAAGAGTTGACTTTAAGAGATTCGAGGCTTAAGCCCTCGGTCTCTTGCCCCTCCTTTCCCTTTGATGCAGTCTCATCGGTGAGGGTGTTCTCCAACAGAGAAGAGGCGGTTGAGGCTGTTGGTTCAAAGTCTATTTTCTCTTCCTCCGCTTCTTCTCGCTTCTTAAGGCCAGATACCGGGACTTGCCCAAACCTGTAGTGGATGGAGTGTCCCTTGGCCTTGATAGCTTCCTTACTTTTGGTATCGATCCCAATTGTAAGGACTTGGCCGTGGCCTTGTTCTTTCATCATCATCATCATCATCATCATCATCATCATCAT